GAAATAACATGATATCCGACGGAAGTCGAAAAATTATAACATTAATATCTAACATTTAAAAAGTTCTACGCATTTAAAATAAACCTATAGACTATAATTGAATTTCTGTTTAAAAGCTATGAATAATATAATTTATAATGCATATGGTAGAAAATAATATATAATAAAATATGGGGTAATTGTTTACTCCGTGCGCAAAACGAAGAATTAAATTAAATTACATTTTTTTTACATGGAATTGACATAGTATTTTTGTTGGTATATTATTAGTTTTTATAAATTATCATATAAATATTATATATTATTATTTATTTTAATAGTTTATAATATTTATATTGCCGTTTCCATGGCGCGTTTATAATAATATTATTAAAAATTATTAATTTGGTTCATTTATTAGACCTGTAGCCTAGGTCATGTGCTATGCCTTCTTTTTTTTTACTTAGTTTTACTTAGTTTTTTACTGGATTCTAAAATATTATTTCGAAAGAACCTACCTATATAGATATTTATATTATTATGTATACTTTCTGAGTTCTGCAGCAATACAATTGACATTAATAATGATTAATGGTGCCTAATATATTATATTATTATAATTAATATTTTATAATATAATAATATATTATTATATAAGTAGGTCTAGCTGCACTGGTGCAGTAGTCTTCGTCTGCGGGCACCCGTATGTTTGCATAGGTAATTTCACAGGGTATATAAATATTATTACACGCATAATATATTATTATTACACGCAATATAATAATTATTACCTATATTTATATATTATATATTATTTTGGTAAATGGATTAATCGTATAGTCGTATTCTAAAACAGAATACTCAGAAATACGCCATAATAAAAATTGTATAACAATAATACTATTATTATTTACTATATTATAAGCTGTCGCGTTTTTCTGCCGCCACAGACGATCAGAAGACAGAAATAACTATGTGGCATAATTTTCCTACATTAAATTAACACAGTAGCCAACAATAAATTATGAAATACTGAGTCAATAATTATAGTATAGTTATAAATAATTTAAATAATTTATAATTTATTATAATACATTTTAAGGCCTTAACATAATTGTCTGGGTTTCCCTAAAAGCCATCGACTAAAAAATGTGCTCCCTACCAACCCACCACCAACCATACTCTATTGGATTAATATACCTAATCTAGATTGGTATAATATAATCAAGCTGTGATCAATTTGATTAATGTGGTGGGTGGGACACGCATGAAGTTAGCCCCTCATTGAGAAAATAGTTTCAACTTATAAACGATGAAGTTACACAAACTCTTAAAAAATTAGGTCGCAAATCATTTGGAAAATGTGTTATGAAGTGGAGAGGCTATAACTAAATACGTCATAATTACGTATTCATTCCAGTGTAAATATTATCATTGATTGCAAATCTTATAGTACTTGTCAGGCAACCAGACGCTAAATCGTACGCCACGCAATGTTTGGCGATTGGCAAGTAGGTTCCTACGCCAGTATTTTATGTCATTATAAATTATTATAAATACAGGGATTAAAACCGATATTCGATACTGATTTTGAATACCGGTTAAAACCGTTAAAAACCGAAAACGAAACAGAAAAAATGAATACCGGTATCCGAAACCGAAACCGAAATCGGAAAAAATCGATACCGGTATCCAAAACCGAAACCGAAATCGGAAAAAATTGATACCGGTATCCGAAACCGAAACCGAAATCGGAAAAAATTGATACCGGTATCCGAAACCGAAACCGAAATCGGAAAAAATTGATACCGGTATCCGAAACCGAAACCGAAATCGGAAAAAATCAAAACCGGTATCCGAAACCGAAACCGAAACCGGAAAATTTTTTTTCGGTTTTAAGCCCTGATTATAAATTCATTTAATCAAAAAAATATTGATATTTAACTACTAGACTTAGATAGAAAAATTGTTTATATAATCAGATTCACAAATAGGCTATTTTGAATACAACCAAAAAAATGTAAACCAAATTTTTTATTTTTTATTTTCAGTGTTAAAAAATAAAAATATTTTTTCGTATAATATATGTGTAACGCAAGTGACAATATATAATTATACATAAAAATATAAATTTTAAATATTGATGAGAACAAAAGTTATTCCAAAAAGTTCTATCTGTTACACCCTGTATTTCGTGGTTATTCACCAGCATAATATTATTAACTGAAGGTCCAGACCGTATAATCAAGCATCTGATAAATCTCAAATGTCCACTTTTTTATTTTATAAACAAAAAACTTGCCTACCTAATATTAGGTAATATATTATTAGGCAAATAAAAACTAATTTATTAGATAATATGGTTATATCTTATTTCGTCAACAAAATATGTGATCTGGTGTCATTATCTGCAATATTAAAGTATGGGCCACTATATAGCGAATTATAGGCTGAAATATTTCTCGGAGGGTCGAGATTCGGCCCTGCGTCGCAGAAAAAATGCTTTGGACCACTGACGCTGATAATAATAATTAGGATAATATATTATAATAAATAACTGTTGAAACGGGGATGAGACAGAATGATTTATCGGGGGCAGCGAACGTGTGGGCAGAAAGGAAATATCCCAAGTCATTACGGACTATATACGGTTATCTGCTGGTGCCGATAATTAAAAAAAAAAAAAAAAAACAACAACCAAAAAAACGTTTAAAGCCAGTCCCTTCTCTCGAGCGATACGGCCGAGGCAGAGGGAATTAACCACTGTAGCACGAGAAATGGCATCCGGAAGTTTCATCCGGATATCCTGCACTGTAATTTACGATGTTTTGGCAACCGTTCTCATCGAGGACGGTTTTTTATTTTTCAGCAGATAAGTATGAATATACAATATTATATATATTATTCGTACATATATTTTTTTCAACTATATACGCGCCGAATATATCCTCCGCAGCTTTGTAATCTCGGCTGGCAGAGGCGCGGAAATCTGTTGGAACAAGTAATAATATGCTAATATAAAATAAGTATAAATTCGCTATCCAATCCCATCTCATACTTGGTGCAAGCCGGGCGTTCAAAAAAGTTGTCAATGGATTTAGCATAAAAATACGGATTTACAAGACGCGCATTAACATAATAATATGCAATATTTACATTATTCTATATAATAATGCATAATATGTAGGTACATGTCATATATATATATTATTGTCACATATTTACGTATTATATTTAATAAGTAGGTATATATTGTATACCAATATGTTAAATAATTTTTATGTGAATAGTTTCCTTTTTTAAAAAAAAAAATTCCCTATAAAAAGAAAATATTATATATTTATCAACATAACAGTATGATGTTATGTTAAACGTAATAGGTAAATAAATTAAACTATTACGGTCAAAAGTGTAGTGATATATTGTTTATAAATTGTCTTGTACATTATAATCTTAGGGGCGACATAAATACGATTTGTTTAATGGAGAATAGATATAGTTATTATTCAAATTATATGTACATATATATATATATATATAAACCACAAAGAGTCATAATATTATGCTGGGTTGTATGAAAAATGTATTAATTTAATGGACCACTAAATCATGTTTAAGGGACCATTAGATCACTGTTAATTGGTTAAATGTTTAGTGATTGTTCGTGCAACCCGGCAATAGAATATTACTTTATAGTTTACAATATTACTCTATGATGTATAATTCTAATGACTATATTAAATATGATTTATTCGGTCACAGAGTTATCACTCTTTAACATGGTTATTGGTTATAATAATATGTAAGGCGTGCTTACATATAGGCTATACGGTTAAAGATTTTATTACCCAGTGGTTAAATTCAATCTCAAAAAGAAACAATTCTCCTTCATATCGACACCACACTAAAAATTTTAATTAATGAGAAGTGTAATAATAATAAATTATCATAGTCATAAAAGTTAATGTTTTTTTTATAAGATCAAATACAAATTTAATTTAATAAAAAAATAAATATTTTATGGTTTTATAATATATTATATAGCTATTATTACCTATATTGTTTATTATGAAATTAATTACCTCCATAAAACAATATGCATTATAAAAATATAATAAGTACCTACAAAGTTCGTGATTAAGAGGCTGAACATATTAATTTGAATGATAAAATCAAAAAATAATAATTTGATAGATATAATCTTCGTACGAATTCATACCGAAAAGCTTTACACGAAAACCTTTTAATTTTAAAAGTGCGTTATCTAGAACTCGGGTAGGATTAATTAAAAATTGTTTTGAAAAAAACTTCGTGTGATAAAAAAATTTCGTTCAAATTAAACGACATAGGTACGTACACTACAGTGACTATGGCAGTACGCATACTAATAGCTATAATTTAAATTTTCTCAACGATGTAATGTCGGATAATAAATATTAATTGTTCTAAATACTTTACTATAATATGCAAATCATAATATTATCGAAGAGATTTATTTTAATATATAACACATTCAAATATAGTTCTTATTATAATTAAATTAAAACTAAATTTTAAAAACTGTTTGTATTTTATTTTTTATAATAAATTGTTCATATGGACAAATCATAGGTAGTATAATATATAATATAATATAATATTATTTAATATGCATTTATGAAATATATTAATTACTAACGTCTGATAATAAATGCGTATTGTTTAATCTCGAGTTGGCCTACTAATGAAATGGCGCACCAAATGGATGTAAAAATATATGTGCCCCCACTCGAAAAATCGGCTCTAAAAATGTCTTTGCCGTTCGATAAAAGCAATTGAGTTTTAATTGGCGTCATGTCATTTATACGTATTGAAAGGTAAATTAGTACTATAAATAAATATCGTCTCATACACTTGGACGTTCGAGCGCCATTGTTACCTCAAAGCTTTCGTCGGGCGCAGATTCAGAAGATTGTCCGTCGCACATCGTTCGACGTATTTTATTATTTTATTAGACCACAGCGACCAGAACAACATCAAACATGGTAAGTCATCTCTTCAGATATAGGTACCTCTGTATTGATTAATATTATTTTGTATGATGTATACGACAAAGAAAAGTTACTCGTCGTCGATGATGGTTTATAGTAGTTCGATACGCATCGACTTCACCGACGATCGAATTTATATAATAAAAATTTGAATGAATAATAATATATTGTTGAGTATTATAACTATTGTGTATGAAATATTATTATAGTCGTGGATGGACCCGGTCCCCGAAACCCAAGACCTCTCGGAAGCCATAACGTTGAGCAAAGATCAATTGAAAGGTAACGACGACGGTTATGGATCTCTTCAAGTGATTTTATTAATTTGTGTATCGTATTAAGTTTTGAGAAAGGGTTTCGACACGTTCGACACTGAGAAAAATGGCAAAATTACTTGCGCCAACATCAACATCATTTTGGACATGTTGGGCCATGCTACCGACGCCGGAACAGTTAAGACAATCGTATCCGAAATCGACCACCAAGGTAAGCAGCAGCCGATCGAACGTAGGCGGAAATCGGAGGGGGAAGGGTCTCAGGCACCCAAATATCTCCCCCCCATCCGAAATTTTAATGGACTTACGTCTATGCACGTCGGCTAATTCATCGATTATAATAAAGTCATTGTGATTGTTTTCGTCCCCGCGTTGTATCATAATATTATTATTTTTATAATATTGTATTGTGTAAAAGCAGCTAACCAGAAAATTTTCATTTTATTCAATTAGATCAGTTGCGTAATATTTTATTAAAAATATCTGATAATGCAACACAGACCTTCGGATTATCGTCGTCGTGTTTTATAATAATAATAATAATAATGGACTCGATACACGCAAAGGGCCTTCCAGCGAATATACTAAATACTAGTGTACGGTATTATATCATTATGTGTTATAATTTTATGGACGTTGCCTAATCTTTGCGCGTTTAAACATACTATGCATATTGATACTTTTGATTTAATTAGTTTATATCGTTAAACATTCAATCAAGTGGCCTACCTACCTATATATAAAAGAACTCGGTCGAATAAAGATAACTATATTATTATCAAACGGTTCTTTGGAAATATTGTATTCGACCACTACCTACCATGATACTGTTATTACATGGACATTTTTTTTAAGCACGGACCACCGAAATGACTGCAAACCTTCTTGAATTTGTTTTTGTCCGATTACAAAATAGTTTATATGACGTAATGAATTTCGGGCGATACAATTATATTATAAGTTTAATATTTTCGGACAGATGTGATAAATTATAAATCATAATCCAAAAAAGTCATCGAGAAACCAATATTTAAAAGCAACAATTTAATATTATCATAATTCCTATATAGTATCCGATTGAAATTCGCAAACCCAAACATTAATGCAAAATCGAGGTGATTCCCTGCAGCTGCACTGTCCTGATGCATAATATATGAAACGCGATCGTTCGAAATTCTATAAACCTATTTTAACAACTCAACCAACGACGTCACCACTTATCGAAACGCGTAATTTACCTATTAACTAACAATGTAACTTTAATCGTCTGAAACAAAACATTACTGTTGTTCGGTATGCAGCGATTTATACGCCACTACGTATATGAAATAAGGTGGTCGAAGATAACTATATTATTATCAAACGGTTCTTTGGAAATTTTATTCGACCACTATACCTACCACGATACTGTCATTACATAGACAATTTTTTTTAAGAGCACGGTCCACCGAAATGGCCTCAAACATTTTTGAATTTGTTTCTGTCCGTTTACAAAATATATTACAACGAAATTAGGGCGCTTGATTGAGTACCTAATAATGTATTGGTTCTTTGAAATATTGTTATTCGACCACTATTATACGATGCTATAATTGTTATAGACGCTTTTTTTGTAAACAAGGTCTATACCGAAATAACCGCAAACATTTTTTAATTCGTTTTCGTCCGTTTAAAAAATAATTTATATGCAACGAATTTCGGGCGCCACGATTATATTATAAGTATAATATTTTCTGTGAAATGAGCAGACAATTTATAAATCATAATTCATAATCCAAAAAAGTCATCGAGAAACCAATATTTAAAAGCAACAGTTTAATATTATCATAATATAATATAATATAATAGTATCCGATTGAAATCCGCAAACCCAAAAATTTATGCAAATGCGAGATGATTCCCTGCAGCAACACTGTCCTGATGCATATATTAAACGAGATCGTTCAAAATTTTATAAACCTACTGTAACAACTCAACCAACTTAATCAACTTAACCGAACACTTATATCGAAACGCATAATATTACCTATTAATTAACAATATATAACTTTAATCGTCTGAAACAAAACATAACTGTAGTTGTTCTGTATTTCAGCGATTTGCGGCAAAACATTTCGTATGAAATAAATCACATTTTCCTATTTCATTTTATCGCGTGATGAAATCGACGATTCGCCCACTCCGATGGCCGCCCACTTTATTTATTATTTTTTTTTTTTTATTGCCTATTAAAAATAATTCAATAAACAAATGTCGATGCAATCTACTGTATATGATAAACAAATACAATTATATTACTTAATAACAAATGTGTACCTACACGCGCCCTAACCGATTTACCTATTTGTTGTTTAACGATTTGAAAGTTCGAATTTTCAATAATTATTTTTTTATACTCACGCCTTTTACAAAAATAAAAAAAAACCTTACGATAGGTCTACCGGCTACTAAACATATTATTATGAAACGAATATAAGTAACCTTACATATTTTATAATCAGAATAAACCAAATAATATTATAATATATTTTTTTTTTATAAGCTGCAATTTAAAATTTATTCAATATTCATAATATGTTAAGTGTACGACACACCGACCTACCTTAATATTACCGTACCTATACTTCGATTCAGTGTAATATTATTATACTTCGGGCAAGTCCAACGTGCGTACAAAACGAATAATATTACAGTCTTTTAAATATGTTCTCCTCGCGATTGAACCGATGACCCGAACACTATTTTTCGCGTGCTACTTATGTATAGACGTCATCACACTTTCTAGTGGGGAAGTGTATATAATAATATTATATGCATATATGAAGAGTATACCTATATTAAACGTCTGAAATAATAATTTGGTTAATCCGACGAAAATTGCTAATACGTCTTATCCTCTACAATATCCACCGGGTACGCACGCCTACGCTAAAATAATAAATACCTAGTTCTGCTTTATATGGGTTGCTCAATAATAATATAATAACGTGTACGCGTATAGTATAAGAAAAGTTTCATAAATTAATTAATACCTATGTATGTTCTATTGTTACGAAAACGATCGTGGATTATAATAAACCGTAGTTGTCGATAGAAAGTGTTTTGTAGTGAATTTCAAACAATGTATAGGTAGGCACAAACAAAACCTTAGGATTTAGTTTTATTTTTTATGAAATAAAACGGTCGACTTGTATAATAATAATACAGTCATGTTCCTTTTTTCCGTTCCCAACACGCCACTGTATAAATAATAATAATAATAATAATATGCAATAAAATACATTTGACATTTATTATTAAAAGTAGATCACAAGACGTATAACGTAGTACTAGGCTGGTACTTGGCGTTGTTAGAGTGTTCTTTCTTTTGTACCTATATCCAATATAATATGTATATACGTCTATACGAAATAAAAAAATTAAATAATATACAATTTATGAATATCATATTTTTATTTACAGTTCCGAGACGCATTTATAAAGCGTATCTTAACAATAATTTCTATAGTAAGTATAACAAATAACTTGGTCGAGCTCAAATAAAAGTAGGTACTCAAATAGTAGTTTTTGAGGTACCTATGTGAAAAAAAAAACACACACACACCATAATATAATATGCTCTCTCACCGTTGTATTTATAATATGGTAATCGATTTATGATAAATATGTACTTTCAAAACAATATTTAAAATAAGGAGGAAAAACTCACAAAAATTACACGTTACGACAAAATATAATTGGGCCCGTATTAAAATTTATATTTGTCTTACTAATTCAAAACGTATATTATTATAATAAAAGTGATACCGTTTAACGATAAAAATTTAAATTTACGTTATTAAATTATTATATGCGCTCATTATATTATTATACAACTTTGTAAAAAAATATAATAATATTGTAAAACACTTTGCGCAATCTATACATTATTAGTTTAATTATAATATATAAAAAACACATCCACTCGTCACACAGATATACAATTATTATAATTGTTTTCACAAGTCGGATTTCATCTTGTATGTATAAAATACATACATGGTTTTTACAAAATCAATTAAAATTAACTCGTGGATTAGTTAGTGGAGATTTAGTTTTTAATATACAGGTACCTACTGCAACCGTTGAGAGTACAAACGAAAATCGATAGGTTCCTACTTTAAACGGTTCGCTTAAATGTATATAATAACGGCTAAATTTATTGAGGTCGGTTCTTCACAAACTTACTATACCAACGAGTTAAAGTAAATTAATTAATTAAAATCAGTATCTTCAACAACGATGGAACTTTACTTAGGCGTTTTCCTGAACGCGTATTATGTACATCCGGTCCACGAGTTTAAGCTATATTATGATTATTTTATATACGATTTTGCTTTTTATTGATCAAACCCAAACTTTGGCTTCACAAGTCGTTGCGATGTCTTTACAATTTTACTTTGACATATTATTATTTTTTTTTCAAATTGGTAAGGCACGTCGAAAAATTAACTATGTTTTTTAAGAATATAATTATTATTATTATTATGATATCATATTCTAAATGTTTTCTGGGTTTGGTCCTTAAACCGTTGGTACTTAAAACTTAACATGACGTACGTAGACGGAAATCTGTCAGTACCTGTGAGGGTTCAATCGTTAGGGTTGCTCATATATAGTTTCTATAATATCATAAATAATAAAGACGGGGGAGGGGGGCTCTAATTTTGTCATAACTAAAGCACGTGTGTTATTTTGTTGATTTTGATTCTTAATAATATAATTCGGCATTATATAATATTCTTTTTAATTCAGAATTTTTCCAGTTTGGGTTTATTTGATCACTATAATATAATAGGTACACGTGTACTTAATTTTGATTTTGTATTGAATTTGATGTTTTTTATTTCTGCTCGAGTTACATATTTTAAGAGTGGTGTTTTTATTAGTTCTATTGCCCAGTTTGGTTCTATTGATACATTTGCGATATTTTTTTCCTCATATCTCGCTCATTCTACAAGAGTACCGATATAATATATACAATTTAGAACATTCACGAACATGGGTCGAAATAATTACACAATTTTATAGTTCTTATTGGAACAAATCTACGCTTCAATGAGCTTTGGAACTAAATAAGCTTCGTTTTTGTTTCACAGAAACACTGCAGAAAAATTCAGAGAAAATTTACTCGTCGAAAAAGATAGGCCCTTCAAGAGTTACTATGCGTTATATGCAAGATTGTATATTATATATATATATAAACTATGTAGCTATAGCTGTAGTGCATGATGAAATCATTGTATTGGAAAGGAAGGCCGACTGGGCAATGTATGAAGGTTTAGGCTTCAGCGTATTTATTATAACATTATAATATGCAGTCAGTCTAAATTTGTTTAGCAAGACTTATAACTAAACATTATTTAGACTTAATAAATAGGGTACATGGAATTTGTATTTTAAGAGATATATCGCAAAATAATAAATAGGTACTATACCTAAGCTTACAGCAAACACAAATATAACAATACCGCATGTCTGAGGTCAGTAACTTAAAAATTGTGTTATAAGTGTCGTTTTTATTGATGAATAACATGTTCGAAAGGCTTACAGTTAAATTATTACCCACATTTATAGTATTTGAATTAGACATTCAAGTGAGTAGCGTGTTGTGGGTTAATTTCAAATGTAAAAACGTTGTTAATTGATCGGTGTCATGAAAACATGGCAAACTTTGTATTTAATCACTCTAAAACATGAATTTTAAATTTTAACTAGATTGATAGAGACATTAAAAAATACGATATACTTAACTACGTATTCTTAAGTGTTAAATATAATCAACGAGGGTTCTGTGAGGTCTATTTTTAAACTTTTTACCGTTGTATAAATCTTAATAATAATATAATAATATTATGTTTAATGGCAGTATGGCACAATGTCACTTAAAAAACAGACGATTTGTTATTTCAACAATAATATACCTATGTTACAAAAAGAGATTTTAGGGCGCTGAAGAAAATAAAAACCTCTTAGTCCAATATAGCTGGTACACCTAATAAATAATATACATAAACTAATATTTCATGAATGAAAAAAAAAACCAAATACATACACATAGTGTTTAAACGTGTACCTATATACAGTAAAACCTCTCTATAACGGACCCTCTATTAGACGGAATCCTCCTTATAAAGGAAAATGTCAATAATTTTCTATTAATCTTTCAATAGTTTTTCTACCTCCCTATAACGAAAAACTCTTTATAACGGAAAAAAATTGAGTCCCAAGCGGTTCCGTTATAGGGAGGTTTTACTGTATTATAATATAAAATAGCAAATCCGACCACAGTTGGTCGTAAGTCGTGAGTTCATGACGTGGTTGGATTTAAATGTTTTTCAACAAATGTTTTTTGCCTGAAAAAATTAATTTTCCATATTTTTAACTCTAAGCGTATTATTTTGCGTATCATTGATATTTTCATTTACAGCGTATTTTGTGGGTTTTTTAATACTATGTTCTTACCTATATATTGTATATAAATCCAAAGCCCCGTTAATTAAAAAAAGTGAGAGAGTGTGTGAGCCCACCGTTACACTCTGGGGGAGTAAAACTTCTTTTATAAGTAATTGGGCCCGTGAAATTTTAAGTGAATTAGGGAGAGAGTGAGAAAAATCAGTACAATAAAAAAATATGTAATTTACGATGGACATTTTTGTTTATCGATGGAAATTTATAAATAAATAAACAAACGTGTCGTTTCATTTTTGCTGTAGTTTTATTTTTCGTTACGATTTTATTTCCACCCACACCTCAAGAAAGAAGTTCTACTTCAATAAAAAGTATAAACAGCATGGTAAATTAAACGTGCTACCTTCACTAATAATATTTTCTTTTTCAATTTTTGTACTTGGTATTTTTTTTAAAATTTCAAATCATATCTTTAATTTTGAATTCACATTAAAAATACTTTTATCCAAAATATTCTTATAAACATATAGGACATAGGTACGCTAAAATAATAAAACACAACAACTGCAGGCTGATAAAATTTCTTTGATAAAACCCTATTGTGTCATAAAAATGCATAATGCCATAAAATATTCTCATCACACTGAATATATTAAGTCATGATATAGGTACTTACATTGTTTCCCTGGTTAATAATAATTGTACAACTGCATCATATTATTATACTTCGGAACTGCAGAAGAAAATATATTATAATAAGTATCATAATGAATGCAATTTCAAGAACAACAAGTGCATCGTATTTAATTGCAACAACCATGTGATATTTCGATGTGAACTTTTACGTTTCTTGTGTTCTATAGCTGGACAAAAAAGAATTTCCTATATGTGCTGACACAATTTTAGAATTTCTTTTTTCAATTTAATTTGCCAATGATTTTTATTTCGTAATATTATGTACTATCGTTCTATTCATACCAAAACAGTAACTCAAATTTTCACCGTAAATTTCGATTTCAACGTTTAGGTCTGACCTATCTACTTTTTAAGAAAGCATATAATATTACCGGAGATATTATATTAGTTAAATATTATTTTGTTGTTCTATAATCAAACGAAATAACTTTGTATGCATATTATTGAATTTTTATGTGTAAATCAATAATAAAACAACCCGATTACTTTCATAATATTAATATAATAAATCATTTAATCACGGTTTATGGTTATTTTTACAATGATATTCAGTGGAGCACGCAGGGATAGGGTTCTAGGGGGTTCTGAGTTCTGATACCCTCTGAAATGTCTCTTTTCTACAAAAAAATCTTATTTACCACCATTTTGATACACACAGATCGATTTATTGTTGGTCATTTTTAATAGATATAAAATAAATCGTTAAATATGTTAAAGACGTCGATAATTATAGTTTCAGTTTTTTTTTTTGGCTGATTTAGAATACATTGCTAGACGCCTGCCATAATTGATGGTGTATATCATCCTCCATAGATTATTACCACGTTTATTATACAACCCGAGGAGGCTCTATAGATAACCAGGTTAAACGCACTGTAAATGTAGACTAAATTTGAGACGCAAATTATTTTTTCAGGTAAAACCCTGACCCTGCGCACACTACTGATAATATTATTTGTAACAGTCTATAAAATCCAAATACTTATTACAGGCAGGTAATAAATTAGTATTCAACGTAAAAAAATAAACAGAATGATATTTCGTTACGATACAATATAGTAGGTACAAGGGTATGTATACAATATATACCTACCTATAATACAACATAAGTTTATCGGTTTGTTTGTTCGTCCACACTCTTGTATATAGCACTCTTCGGAGCTTCTGAAAACTGGGTCGAACAAAACTTATCATTATTTATGTGTTCGGCATAGGCGCGATATACACGTTCGTAATAAAACGGGACCTCCCCCCCCCTCAAGGCACCAGGACTATCCCCAATGCGACAATGTCTTGAAGAAAGATCCGCATGCGATACACTTAATGCGAAACGTGTTTTCAATTTGTGTTTTCCTCAAGACTAAAAATATTCTCTCGTTTATGGAATTTGACTTTATAGCATTTCGAATAAATTACCACGTTATATATATATATATATAATATGTCATATTACTGCAGTATACACTACATAATATTGTGATATTGTGTAACAAAACATAATATAATATTATAGACTGTACGCTTTGGTATTGCTCTTTAAAAATAATATGTTTGTTACGCGGACACGTCTGTAACAATATAATATATAGGTATCTATTTTTTTGACAATTTTTTCTTCGCTTTTCTTCTTTTTAATAACCTTCTCCACCGAGTAAAATATATATTGTATAAAATATTATAATATAATATATGTTATCGATTGACGGTCGTATACTTTTGAGAAATAGCACGACGATACGTATCCGACGAACCCCTCACCCTTCCTCTCAACAAACTAATAAAGTATTTCGACTATTTTAACGACAGCCATCGGAGTAGATACATACCATAATAATGTAACCATAATATTATTATTATATTTGTTAACAGTGCGTATGATAACGTTTGGTGCTCTAATAATGCATCCGAAGCATAATTTACGCGTGTTTTACAGTCTCCATTGTTGGCCAAATTTAGCACAATAGGCGGCCTTGTGTGGCGCAATATTAATATCTTACCGTGCCGAAATCGCGGTGTAAATCGTCGATTGTTATTTACTTTTTACTATTTTGTGTCCGCAGCGTTTTGTGCTTGAGATGTTTTATTACTATACCTATATAATACAAGTCGTTTTTTTTCCTCTTACAGGAACCGGTACATTATCCTTTGATGACTTTTGTACGTTGGCGTCGAGATTTATGACCGAGGAGGAAGAGGACTCCGAAGCAATCAAAACCGAACTCAGAGAAGCTTTTAGGCTATACGACAAAGAAGGTGCGAATAATCGTCATACTTGCTAGCTACGTACCTATATATGAGGGTGGAAATCCAAAAAGTACTATTGACAAAATTGAAAAAATCAAGATAGGTATCGGCTCTTATGGAAAAAATATCGATACTTCGATTGGCGTCATCAGAATAGACCAAAACGTAATATTTCTTGGTAAAATATGCGATTCAAGATGACTGGTTAATCCAAAACGAACCTTTTCAACACATAAAAATGATGTTTAGAAAATCAAAACGTACTATTTCCCCTTGTTAAAAGAATAGGAACAAATCATTAACTATATGAAAATGAACTATTTCCTAAACGTACTTTTTTTATGTTATGCCAAAACGTACTTTTACCAGTGTTGTACTCTATACATATATGTAGAGAAGTAAAAATATTATTCCAAAACGTACTAAAATTTAATTTTAAAAATTTTAATTAAGTTTTATATCCCTCTAGAATATTTAACACACATAAATCGTTTAAAATATAAATAATTTTTAAAAAGTTTTGTCTGGTTATAAATGGTTTGTTTTTATTGGAAATGTTATGATATAGAAAATCGCTTCTCCTGAACAATCAGTATTTTGGCAATAGTGCTTTTTGGATTTCCACCCCTCATATATATTCTACATAATATAGGGATGGCGCATTGGCGCGGGGTTATTATAAACGAACTAAGCATAATTGGAATTTATAATTTCAATACTAAAAGTTGATACATTTTTTCATTCAGGAAACGGTTATATCACGACCGAAGTGCTGAGAGAAATATTGTCTGAACTCGACAACAACATGTCCGACGAAGAACTGGATCAGATGATCGATGAAATCGACGCGGATGGATCCGGTACCGTAGACTTCGACGGTAAGTTCATATAAAACTATATAGATATAGGGTTCTGCAATCGACCGACTAAGCGACTAACCGACTATAAGCGATGGACGTTAGTGACTTTTAAATTCTCTCGCAATATTAATCGTACATATTATAGTAGGCGGATACCTCTCTTGATATATTATTTTAATTATAATATTGTAGAACAGGCCATAACAGACGCGGCTGCGCAGTGTGACAAAATAGCGGAGTATTGCGCATATTGTCTTAATGTAGTTGTGAACTTATATTATAATAGGTAGGTATAATATATAGTCGTAATTTCGTAAAGACACTGTCGAAACGCTCTTCGAATGGGTTCAACTATATGAGCAGAGAAAAAATTTCTTTCGAGTGCACTACATATTATTACGAAATCATCGTTAACGCCTGGAGGGATCGAAAAGGTTGGTATGCAGATGACGTCCCCCGTTGCGTTATTATCACGTCGACCACCGCGGTAATCGTATCATTGGTTTAGGGGACCTGTCAGACGTGGTGGAGTGGAAACGATGATTGTTATTATACACACAGGTGAACGTGTGATGGCAGTGTGTTATTAAAAAAAAAATAATAAAACAGTTCATCGACGATGGCTTCCTGCTGCATAACTTTCGAAACGCCGATAATCACTATAAAACATGGGCGGTATAATTATTTGCGATCGATCAATCACGATCGTAACATACCACAACGGTAACACGGCAGGCCCTGTGGGGTCCGATATAATAATGTGACGTGTTGTGTCCGTCCGTCCGTCACGATGATTAATAATTTATCGGATTTTAAAACGAATTCGAGCGGCAGCGACGAAAGCGGCGGCGGCAGCATATGTGCACCGTAGTTGACTGATTAATAATTATAATAATAATAATAATAACGACAGCGACAATGGGATGATGATGGAGGCAGCTGCAGTTACAGCAGACACTATATACACCTATAGGTATATGCCTAAGTATAACACGCGGTATGGTTGTCATATACCATACTAAGTGGAGCAAAGTGAATGCAAAATAATATGTGACGAAGCTAAAAATATATTATCACTGTTATTATACATTTTTTTTTTCGATCCGGAGGACGTTATAATTACGCGAAAAATTGTAGGTCTCTTCGCGCCGTGACGTGACGAGTCTTGTTAGCACACATCATCCGTGGACTATCTGTAAATTATCGGTTCCTAGATGCAAAAAAAAAAACACAAATATATTTACTCCCCCCGAAGACGACGATTGCATGTTCCCGCAGAGTGTACCCAGGGCCTCGGGTTTTAATTATTATATTATTACCAGAGTTGGGCAAAATTTTATCTAGATAGTTATTCGAATAAATCTGTATTCGAATAAAAAACTATTCGAATGTTTTTTTTTACAATTATTCGAATAAAAATGTATTCGAATAATTTTCAACTAAGATTATTCGAATAAAAAACTATTCGAATAATTTTCAACTAAGATTATTCGAATAAAAAACTATTCGAATAATTTTCAACTATGATTAATCGAATAAAAAACTATTCGAATAATTTTCAACTATGATTATTCGAATAAAAAACTATTCGAATAATTTTCATCTATGATTATTCGAATAAATTTTAAAGACGGTTATACGAATAATTCTTAGTTATTTAATTTGATTAAAAATACCTAGTTCATAATAAAATAATTTTTTTAGATATTGCTATTATCGATCTATTAGGATTGTTGTAATAATTGTTATGAAATATAACCATTAAATATTATTCATATTATAATATTATAAAACTATTGTTAAAATATAATTTAAAAAAACATATCTAATTTTCTAATTATTAACTTTCTTCTATTGATAGATATTTGTTTATTGTTTATTCGAATATCTATGTTTAAAATTGAATCGGTTAATTTTTTATTCGAATAACAATAGTTGAAAATTATTCGAATACATTTTTATTTGAATATTTGTAAAAAAAAATATTCGAATGATTTTTTATTCGAATAATAATAGTTGAAAATTAATCGAATAAATTTTTATTCGAATTATTGTAAAAAAAATTATTCGAATAAATTTTAATTCGAATAATTGTAAAAAAATCATTCGAATAATAATTTATTCGAATAAAATGTTATCTAAATAATCATCTAGATAAAATTTCATTCGAATAACGCCCAACTCTGCTTACAGGGTAAACCTAATAACAAAATAATAACAATATACAATATACAGACTGAAAAACGGTTTGTCACAAACCGTCTCCGCTCCGAATCGTTTTTCGTATACAATGAATAATGATAGGAAATCATTGAATTCAAATTTAACACAACCCGTTATACAGTGACCCACTTGTAACCTACTGTACAGCAGACCGACATCCATTTACCCTCGCTTTTAAATACTATTCTATTGTACTAGATATATCCACTGGAGTATATATTGAATACTTTCCATTAAATAATTTTTTTCTGACTGTCAATAATAATCAGTTATAAAATAAAATCGAAAACCATACGATATCGTTAATTTTATGGAAACATAGGTATTACCAAAAAAACGATTACCACGAAAAGCAGAATCTTATATTTTTGAATAATAAATAATATATTAATATAGGATTAGCGATACAGTCGATTAGGGTCTAATAATGCGAATCAGATCTGGGCTTTCTGGGATTTGAATTAATACGTTATAATTTATTAAAACTTTCACCAATTAAATGTGTTCAGGTTCTTCTTAATCAGTATCTTAAATTTTATTATAGGTTATAGCCCATGGGCTTTAGGTAAGTTATTAGTTAACAAATAATTAATAATAAAATGTACCAAACTAACAACTAACAAGTTTCACGATTCTACAACCTACAGCCTATGTCTATAATGTTTATAGTACTACAAATTACAACTATCAATTATTTTTAACTATTACCTATAGAACCTATTTATCTAGTGTATAATTTAAAAGTAGTTGTCAAAAACACCTCAAACAGCTTTACATTTAAAGTGCTGAAAAATATGATAAAAGTGATATGTATAATATATTAACTTATAAAAAAAATAGTATTTTAATTAGGTTGAAGATAAGTGTTTGAGTAATAGTAAAATACCTTCATTAACTATAGGCATTACACTGCCCGGCGTGTATAGACAATACTTCAATATTATAATATGAGCTTCAAAATGGTGGATTTGTTGAAGCGAAATTTCCAGGGAAAAATATTATCCAAGACACGAGAAAGTTGTAATAATAACGTCTTACTCCAGTAAAATTTTCTTGCACAATACCAAATTTAAGAATCGTTTGCGTATAAAACGACACTTGTTGATTAACAATATTAATGATATTATAGACATCCGAATGACGAAAGCAACGTCATAATAGCTGCCGAAAAAATAAATATAAATTTGAACACAGAGTATTTTTAAACGGTTTTTCGCAACCGAATTCGTCTTAAAAATCACTTATTACTATATTATTATTGGTATGATAAACTATATATAATAATATAGGTGCTTATTACCTATATGGCTATATGTTTATAAAAGGGAGATAGTGGAACCACTCTTATTCAATTTTTTTTTTTTTTTTGTCGACTCGATGAGTGTAATAATATAAAAATTAAAACCCGAGGCCCTGGGTGTACACTCCAGGGACATGCAATCGTCGTCGTCGGGGGATAAATATATTTGTGTTTTTTTTTTGCATTTTTGAACCGATAATGTACACGTTTGGAAGTCCGAAATTTCCAGGGAAAAATATTATGCACGACACGAATTGCACAGTAACGAATTTAAGGGTCGTTTGCGTATAAATGGACACTTGTTGATTAGCAATTAATTATTATTATAGACATCATCCGAATTATGACGAACTCCTCAACGGAATAAGCTACCGAAAAATAAATATAAATTCGAACGCAGAGTTTTTCAAAACGGTTTTGCGCAACCGAATTCGACTTAAAAATCACCTATTACTATATGATTATAGGTATGATGAACTATATATAATGATCAGGGTTCGGGACTTATAGCATTTGCATATCCATCATAGGTGATGTAAAACATAACAGAGTGATCTACAAATACGTTTTGTAGTACAGAGAATTAAAATATGAAATTTTATTTTGCATATTTTTGCATATTTTGGGGGTTTTTGCATATTTTAAAGGTTTTTGCATATTTTTTGCTTATTCGACGATTTTTAATGATTGATGGTTAATATAATTGTTCAAAATGTATTAATTAAAATGTTGAACGATTAATTGCGAAAATTTGTTTTGTAGTAATACTATTTGTGTAGCTATCTGCCACAAAAATGTAGTACGTGCACTTGATTTATAAATACCTACTCAACAAATCGAAAACCATGTAGTTATCTGAGTTATGGTTTAACAAACAAATATGTAATATTATCACCGGAGGAGAGTCTATGGATCTTCGTTCAATAGCAGAAGATCTAACATGTAATGATCTGTTATTTTTCAAGTATGCTCCCATTACTTCCGTCGACTTGGAACGTTCATTTTCGGCATATAAGTGTATTCTAGCCGATAATAGAAGAGCCTTCCAGTTCGAAAATGTTCGAAAACATCTAATAGTTCATGCAATCACAAAGGCACTAAGATTTAAATTACAAATTTTTTAATTTTTTAATTTTTTAATTTTTTTAAATATAAAAAAATTAATATATTATATATACCTATTTATTAATACATATTATATCAAATAAATCTTTTTTGTTAATGATTTTTAATTTTTTAGTGCATATTATTTTCATTTTTAGTGCATATTTTTAAGTTTATTGGGTCATATATAAGCGCATATTTTAGTGCTTTTTAGTGCTATAAGTCCCGAACCCTGATAATGATATATAATGTATAGGTGCTTATTATCTGTTTATAAAAGGGAGATAGTTGAACCGCTCTTATTCGATTTTTCTTTTTGTCGACTCGATGAGTGTAATAATCAGAGTTGGGCGTTATTCGAATGAAATTTTATCTAGATGATTATTTAGATAACATTTTATTCGAATAAATTATTATTCGAATGATTTTTTTACAATTATTCGAATTAAAATTTATTCGAATAATTTTTTTTACAATAATTCGAATAAAAATTTATTCGATTAATTTTCAACTATTATTATTCGAATAAAAAATCATTCGAATATTTTTTTTTACAAATATTCAAATAAAAATGTATTCGAATAATTTTCAACTATTGTTATTCGAATAAAAAATTAACCGATTCAATTTTAAACATAGATATTCGAATAAACAATAAACAAATATCTATCAATAGAAGAAAGTTAATAATTAGAAAATTAGATATGTTTTTTTAAATTATATTTTAACAATAGTTTTATAATATTATAATATGAATAATATTTAATGGTTATATTTCATAACAATTATTACAACAATCCTAATAGATCGATAATAGCAATATCTAAAAAAATTATTTTATTATGAACTAGGTATTTTTAATCAAATTAAATAACTAAGAATTATTCGTATAACCGTCTTTAAAATTTATTCGAATAATCATAGATGAAAATTATTCGAATAGTTTTTTATTCGAATAATCATAGTTGAAAATTATTCGAATAGTTTTTTATTCGATTAATCATAGTTGAAAATTATTCGAATAGTTTTTTATTCGAATAATCTTAGTTGAAAATTATTCGAATAGTTTTTTATTCGAATAATCTTAGTTGAAAATTATTCGAATACATTTTTATTCGAATAATTGTAAAAAAAACATTCGAATAGTTTTTTATTCGAATACAGATTTATTCGAATAACTATCTAGATAAAATTTTGCCCAACTCTGCCTGTAAGTTGAATTAATATTATAAATTACAACAAAATAACTATAATGTTCATTTTTATTTTTATTTTATTCGTTTCTAAGGTGATAATAATTAGGTACTGATAAACAAAGCGTTAGAAATTAAAATCCCATTTTTAGCCTTTTTTTGTAATTTGTCGGTGGTTTTTCCCGTGGCATTAAATATCTATTGAGAAAATCTAAGAATGACCTCTTTAAAGTATCATTTTGATCCAATTTGCTAAAAGACAAGATACTATATGTTGAAATCAAAGCACTCCTTCTGGTGGAAATTTTGTATTAAAAAAAAATAAATAAACACCATTGTAAAACCATTAGATCCCTCTCTCCGCTCAGAATCTAAAAGTACTCGAATTGAAGATGTATATTTTTAAAAAGACGTATTCGAATATTATTTCTTAAATACTTTACAAAATTGACCCGCGCTAGGACTCTGATGGGTAGATCTTAGAAACGACCCTTTTAAGTTGACCAGTATAATTATTATATTGTCAGGTGTATGTTGGGTTATTGAATCATCAATACTACAATGTCTATAAATAATTCATAATTAATTATTTTGAATAAGCTTTAATAGAATACAATTTTTTTTCAGAATTCATGGAGGTGATGACTGGTTAATGCGAAGACGCATTATAAGAGTTATCGATATTATATACAATCAAACAAACGCAGCACTTTTTGAAAAAGCAACACATTTTACAATGTTTCTTTAATTTTTTGTTTTTTTGTTCTTTACGCTCAATTTGCAATTTGTGTGGACGTAATATTGCGTTAAATACTTTGCACGATATACGGGAGCTCCGGCTGATTTAATGCATTAGAGTAATTATAATGTAAACATCCATTATCATTAAAATATTGTATGCTATCAAATTGATTAGTTATTTTGTTATAAACCGTATGTTTTTGATCATATGTATATTGTTGCAGTATGCGTATTTATTTCAAGTATAGCCAGTTACACTATATATTATCGAAAAAAAATATATATATACAGAAAGCGTTATTTGACACAAATTCCCACATGGCAATTATTTATTTAAAAAAAAACCCTATGCAATTAATATTTAATGAAAAAAGTAATAACAATAGTATAATATGATCTTATCTAAGATTATCGAAAAATAACAATGTATCGAGTAAATAATGATTGTTCACGATTCACTTAATGCGTATACACGGAGTGATTCACGAAGCATGCTCTCTCTCCCATTTTTTCGTTTGATAATGAATTTACCCAATGTTTGATTTATTGTGTTTTTAAATTACTTCGAGACTAAATTTTCAAATTCTCGAGATTTTTTTATGCTAATTAAGGAGTGTCTTGCAGTAGTACGAACTTCTGTTTTTAAAATTAAAACCCCCCATTTTTAATGTTAATTATTTAGTGGATAATATTTTTGAAAATGTTGGTACATCTAATTCAAAAGTCCAACGAGTTGTTTTTCATTTATTAAAATATTTATATTAAAGATACTATAGTCATTAAAAATGGTTTTACAATAGTATAAATTTAAATATGTAATATCAGATCTAGGACTAGTATTTATTATTATATGTTTTATTACCATTTTTAAAAATTATAAAAATTGATGAATTAATATACATTTATTATTTAAAATGTTTAATTTCCATTGTCCCCGTATCATCCAAATGGCAAATACTTTGTAGTGAACCTATTATTTTTAGACCTTTAGTACGCACTAAGTAAAATAACTCAAAAAATATACTATTTCGAATGTTCATTTTGATATACTAAATTTGTGGTAAAATGTTATGCTAAATAATTTACAGGGGGGGTTCTCGTTTGAAAAATATAAGTTTGTACCACCACAGGACACCCCTTAAGTCGGAAGAATTTGAAAATATAGTGTTGAGACTTAAAAGTTAAATTTATTTAGAAAATTTAAAATATAAGAATTTTAATGAATTCATTACCTATTAAAAGAAAAGAGGGGGAGATCATGTATGGTGAATCACCCTGTATAGCGTTATTGGTTGTATTCATACTAGATAATCATAATAACATTACAAGTACGGTGTTGACAGTGAAAATAGTATTATTATTATTATTTAAGATAAATAATTTACGGCAGGTTCATATTATTTTTTTTAATTAATATAATACTAATTGTAAAACTACGTTTTAGCTTGCACGTACCTACGGAAATTATGTATTAGGTCGATTCAATTTATGTAATTGCATCGTGAATATCTACATCAAATTAAATGCACAAGCACTCAGATTGTCTTAAGGCTAATACTTATAGCAGTTACTTAAGAGCAATTTTAAATTATATTATACATGCAAATAAAAACAATACCTATATATAGTAGGTAACTATATTATACTCACAACCATTAAAACGATAACGTTAAAAATATGTAATTAGAGCACAAAACAAAACATGATTGTATAATATTATATTACTTTTTGCACAATAACTTACTATTCGAAATAATGACTATGAAAATACAATTAACTCTTTATTAGTGTCAGTAACCAGTGAATAACCTGTACGAAATAAGTGATTAATTGTTTTACAATACGATGTAAAATGTCGATACACATTACAATGAGGTGTATGGACAGGTGGTCGCCGGTCAGTAGTGAAAACCAATTGGATACATATATACTTACGTTAGAGGCTGAAAAGGAATTTTTTGTTAAAAAAGTTTTTTTCGCACGTACCAAAGCTGAAAACGGGTTGAGAATACAACTTTTTTTTCAATTAAAATGTACAGTCTTAAATCTAGAAGTGATATTTCATGGTTTTAAATATAAATACGACTCGAAAACCAATTATTTTAATGTTGGTTAATGGTTACTCAGCAGCTGGTCACCAGCACTCCAAAGTATAGTCCAAAATTGTTCTGATTCCATATATTAATGTATCCATATATTTAAATCTTATTAAGTTTATACGCAATCCAAATGCGTTTGTATGATTAAAATCCAATCACATTCATAAATTATTGTAGATGCATTCTCTACCAATTTTAAAAAAATTTAACGATACAAATTAAAAACGCATGTAGACGGAGTGTTTGTGTATCAATATTTTTTTTACTTGACTCGTTATTAAAATATTTTTAATTTTTTATAATTATTATAGATTAATATAAAATATAAATTAATGTAGTTTTGCATAGTTAACAATGTTTTGGTTTAGTTACAATACGCCTAGTCTAATAACTTCACTTTTTTAGAGCCTAACCTATGGAGCGATGAATATATGTATTACATTTACGATGATATGAGATTTTTTGAAGATCAAAATTGTAAGCACCCAGTACTATTCAAAATAATCAGGTAAAACAAAACCTAAAATTGAAGAAAAACAGGAATCTTTGTACGCAAAACCCTTTTTTTTAGGGGGAACTCAAAAACGAATAACCGTAGATTTTAAAATTTTCTTTAGATGTTTATATAAGAATTTCCTATACTTAAATGATAAAAACTCAAAATATTTTTAAACTTTTTGAGCTATTTATATTTTATAGACATTTAAAATTTTTTTTTTTTTGAGTAAAAACTTACGATTTAAAAAAAAAAATGTTTCTATAATTAGTAAACATCAACAAAAAGTTATTTGATCCAAAGTTCCACATACATTTTTACTATAGTTAAGGGGATTCGATACCGTGATTATCTGTTTTTGTCTAACACACGGTTGACAGTATTTTAGACGTGTTTTTTGCTAAACATTCCAATTGATCTATTGAAGCGATACGATTTCTGAAAACCGATTTGAATTTGTCGTCAAGTCTACTTGAAATCGACTTTCCCACATTTTTGATTTTTTGATTTTAACTTCTCCAAAAATTGAAATAACAGAATTTTTAAATACTCTTTTTGAATATGACATTTAAAAAAATTGGGGGATAATATCAAAAATGTGGGAAAGTCGATTTCAAGTAGACTTGACGACAAATTCAAATCTGTTTTCAGAATTCTTATCGCTTCATTAGATCAATTGGTATGTTTGGGAAAAAACACATCTGAAATACTATGTCACGCGTGTGTTAGACAAAAACAGAAAATCACGGTATCGAATCCCCTTAATTAAAAATATTAAAGTTACGTAAGCACGATTTTTTTATTATCATTTGAAGTTCTAATTTTGTCAACATAAGTCAAAATCCCGATAATTCGCAAATTATTTTGTAGATAAAAATTGATAAAGTGTTTTTTATATTTTATAGCTAAGGCGTGACAATTTTTATACAATAGGTGAGGTACTCCAAATCTTCATACTAAAACCAAAAAACTTAAAAATATGTATATAAACTTAATTTATTGTTTATATGGAGGCATTTGAACGAAGAATAACGGTTTTAGTTATTTTGTTACTCAAAAAAAATTTTGGTGGTGATTTTAAACTTAACGTACCTCGTACAGTCTTACCTGCATTATTATATTTTATATAGGTACACAATGACGTTTTCAAAACATTTGGATTAATATTGTATGCTATTGCGCTTATATACTATTACTGCAGTTTATAACGCATTACTATAAATAGCAAAATAAATTAATATAATAATTATTAACAATACATTTACAATATGATAATGAGCTGACAGACCGTCTCCGCTCAGAATAGTTTTTCGTATGCAATAATTTATCGTTGAATTCAAATTTAACACATCCATTACACACAGTGACCTACTCAATGACGAGCTACACTCGACTCCTACTGTTGTACAACAGAGCTGTTACCTACTTTCCCCCCTCCCGCTGTCTTTTTTTTCATTGATCTCGAAAAATAAATTAAATAATAGGCACCTAACCATAATATTGAATAATATGTGATTGGAAGAGTGTAAAAAATGTTGAGAAAAAATAAAAATGTCGAATATAATAATATGAAATCGATACATTTTTTAAAAATTTTTCGTAAATTTTAGATTTTGTTGAATGAGTCGGTAATTTTTAGAAATTGTATGAACTATTGTTTCATCGGGTTCGGACCAAGAGATAGGTATAGGGTGTCAAGGTCTTCTGATGGATTTAGATTTAGTTTTTCGGTGTGAAACTATTAATTATTTTCTTCTTGTGAATAATCTAAAGCGAATCCTTTTTCGAGTTATTATTAATATTCATATTATAATAATATGTACTTACGTTCTATTCATACGATATGACCGTTCTATTATATTTAAACTATTATGATAATATAACATCGTTTTATCACATGTAAATTATATTTCTATTGTTTTTGAAACATTGAAAAATCTGTTCATTCATTCTGTTTACTATTGGTATATACACCGACTACATCTTTGTTTGAATTGCAAAATTCATATTTAATTTTATCGTTTGTAAATTTTTGTTTTTTTATACGTACCTATATATGTTACGAACGTAAGTTAATTCGAGTCTATAATTTATGATGCATATACACTCCATTTTATTTTGTAATTACACAATTTGTTTTATGATCGTTACCGCTTTTTTCTATCGTTTGCAACGTACAAATCTTTACGAAAATTCGTTTTATAATAATATCGAACTTATAATATCTGCAGCAATAAAAGTATTATGCAATTATTGTTATTTATCGTCCGATTGAAGTTTAATTTATTTTAACTCGTAATATTTCCACATACACAAC